GCCTGCCTCCCGCCCTCCCCGAGTTGGGCTTCCGCGATTGACCGAAAGCGGCTAGACCGGCGCTCCCCGCCCGCCCCCATCCCGCAGTCTCCTCCAATAGGAGGGCGGCTTTTCGGGAAGGTGGAGGGGGTGGCGGGCAGTCGTCGAACTGACAAGCGGGCGCTGCCAATGGGAGAGACGAACCGGGTCTACCGCTTGCATGTGCCAATCAAAGGCAGAAACTGTGGGCGGAGCCCGGGCGGGCTGGGCCGGTAGCAAAGTGGCGCGGGGTGGAGTCCCGAGGCGCGGCGGCGGCGGCAGCGGCGCCCCTCTGGGTGACTTGGCCGTGAGAAAGTGAAAGGAGCCCGCAGGCGGCGGCGACAGCTGCGCTGGGAGGGGCTTGTTTCTAGGCTAGGAGGCCTTGCGTGCCATGGGGGTGCGGAGCAAGCGTTTCGGTGCGCACCGTGATAACCGTAAATGCACTTTTAAGTGTAGTGGGTCTTGGCTGCTCTAAGTTACGCAGGTATCCTCGGGAAGCAGGGCACGCGGGGACACAGAAGACTCGAGTCTGGCGTTAGGTGGCTCCCTCCGCTTTTTCCTGCTGTTGGTGACGACGCCCAGGTCCTCGCCTGCCCGAGCGCAGCGGAGCAGGACTCGGAACGTTCTGGCTACGTCCTGCGGTGTCCGGTGTCCAGGTGCACCTCGGGGCGCTGAGGACGCGTCCCGCCCAGAGGCACAGTTTCCGGGCGTTTTTCTCCTTACGTCGTCATGTTTCGGGCAGAGCAAAACGCCTAAATTTCTCGCAGAACTCTCATGCCCCATAGGTACTCACAGTGTTACGAGTAAAGACATTCCCAAGTGACCAAATTTTAGAGAATGACAGTAAAATTGATACTTGTAGATGCCCTAGCCGGATTACTACGAGGGAAAACTTGTGTCGCTTTTCCCTCTCTTCCAGTAAACTTCTACTCAGTTCTTCTTCTTCGCAACGAATCGTGTTAATCACGGCCACGGCCACGAGCAAAGGTAGAAATTTTTACCCAAGAAATGGGAAATTTGAGGAGGCAAAGATTACAACTAAAAAGTTGAATAACAAGTGAAAAAAAAAAGATTAAGGAAAATAGAAAACTACATAGTAAGGGAGTCAGTGCAATGTTAATTATCAAATGAAATATGTTTATTCTTTTGCTAACTGAACCAGGACTGGCAAGCCTGTTGGTAAACAACTTGCCAGGAGACCTTTCAACAGAGCAAAATGTGCTTTTCACTTTGTTACAAGGTCAGAAGGGTAAAGTAAGTTGAAAGTATTGTTTGGGCAAATCAGACATGTTGAATTGCTAATAAAGTAAGAACAGGAGCACACAAAATTCCTGAAATTAAAGTACCATTGGAATAGCCTATTAGAAACAATAGTGATGTTCTTTACTCTTCACTCAACCTCTGTGCCCTGAAGGCTGCACCTGACGTGAAGGTCATCTTCGGGTAACTAGAGTGTTTTACTCCTTGCAATCTATTGCTGTATCTGTGCTTTTGATGAATTATAGGTCTTTGCAGTCTGTTAATAGGAGGCCCAACTCCAGCCTGACCTGTTTCAGGTTAGGGAAATTTATAAATCTTCTCCATAGATGATATACACTGTTAAAAAAAAAAAGAGAGAGAGAGAGATGTAAAAAGGAGTATCATGTTTCCCCAACAAGTTCAGGATTAAGAGGAAAAGGAAATGTTTGCATTCTCAAAGCGTTTCTCACGTGCTAAAAATTAAAAATCAGGAAGACAACAGCGCTCTGGATGGATCGACAAAAAAAGTGTTTGATAGTGCTCAGATGTTAAACAGTAGATTTCATGAGAAAATGAAAACATTCGGATTGTACACAAAAAGCTTAGAAATTCAGCTCTATGCCACATAGAGCAAAATCACAGCCTTAAAAAAAGGTCTTACAGATTCACCTGGAAGTAGAATAATAGCCGTCAGAGGTATGGAGGGTGGGGGACATCGATGCATCAAAAGTTATGACCATTTTTTTCTCCTAACAGTCGTTACTAGGTTCCATTATGAGAACTGAGTAGTTCGGCCAGGAAATATAGACTAAATGGATATTTAAGGAAGCAAGTATGTCCCCCCTCAATTAAAGATTTATAAATTTATGAAAACGCATGGAACATTCATGCACTGTCAAAAATCAATAAAAATGTTTCTGGGCATTTATTGTGTGCAAGGAAGGTGCTCTGCTAGGGATACCGGAGACATCAAAAAAAATTGTAAGATAGGGTCTCTCCTTCCTGGGGTTTAAATTTAGCTGGGAAAGACATGGCATAAATATATTAAAATGCCAAACAATAGAGATGCTAAATAGCAATATAATAGGATATGAATCTCAGCTAAATTTAATGTTCGTTGCTATAGCCATCTTATCCCCAATCCCTGGTGCAGCTGTATTTTCTCTTACGTTTTTAAAATACTTTTTACTCTCTGAAATGTTTTATTATAAATGTGTTGCACAAATGATACCTTTAATCCTCTTTGGGAAGCCATCAGCATACAAAAATGTCAAAATAATAAGAAGAAGAAGACTGATTTCAGAGATGTCATAATAGAATGATTACTATTTTTTTCCAGCACCCACTGGAACTCTGGAAGGTAATAATTCGAACTCTAAACTCCTCCCTCGAGTAAGCTCCTTAAAGGAGCGTCTGTTTACCTCTATGTAATAGGCTTAACATATTCCCATGATACAAAGCTACTTGGCAGACTTTTTTCTAAGTCAGTAATTTACTGTCCCCCCCGCCACCACCACCGTGAAAAAAAAAATTTACAAAAAGTACAGTCTCTAGCTACTGGAAAAATAAACAATTACTTTCCCTCTGGAGGAATCACAGTCTTGTAGAGTATCCAGTTAATCCATGGTTTTCTGGGAGTCCTGAAGTTAAAAATGATAGAAGTGAAGCTAACACTCATGATTAGATTTCTAGCCAGAGAACAAGTTTTATGTTTTAATAGCACATACATTTTGACCTATAAGAATTTAACACTATAAAATGTTGACAGGCCAAATCAAATTTAGTTTGCTGTGCAATTCTGTAAAATGAATGTCTGACTTTTAAATGCGAACCACAGGTCAAATGCTTGAAAGATACCAATGTTTTTATTACTTTGTGCCATAGGTCACATTGAAAAGTTACTATGAAATTAATTTTTGAATGTTAGCTTTTATGACCTCGTTAACTTCATGTGTAATTGGAGTGTTTTCCTCTAAAAATCAGGGAGACAAACATTAATAACGTAAAAGACCAGGTTTTCCAAGGTGTCATTTTTTAAATATAATACCTATTAAAATGTAACAGAATGTGAGGAGAGGCTAACCAGGTTTTGAATCTAGAGAGGGAAAAAAACACTAAAATGAAAAATTTGTTCAAGCTTCTGTTAAGCCCACTCACTTTCAATAGCATGAGATTCTGCTCACTTGTCTAGCTCCTGTCCTCTCTGTTTCTCAAGCTTCTGGATTTTAGAAATGAACAGGTTGCTATGGCCTAAAGGGAGGAGGAGACACACAAACACAGCTGAGACAATGACAAAAAAAGTAAATGAGCAAACTGGAACACACACCACAGTAACGAAATGAGCAGGGAGCCCATTTCTCAAAGCATGGTTTTTAAAATATATGCATTTACAATTCTGCAAAGTCCATTATATCCCAAACCAATTCCCTGGGTTATAAATTCTGTGATACTTGAGTTGATTTATTAAATTCCTAAACTATGATAAACCATAAATAGGAGCGAATTCAGCCTGATTCTCAGCCCTGAAGACAGAAATAATGTCACCCTAAACCCTTGAGGAAGGGTTCTCAACAGATTTATACAGAGATTTGGGGGCATGCCCCTATACTGAGAGCAGAATAACCCTACACCAGTAATGCAGACCTGTTTGAGGATTAGGGCCAGAGAGCTGCAGAAGAATACAGTCTTCCCAGAACTGTTTTTCCCGTGTAGCCAGTTTTAAGTTGCTTACTGTAAGCCGTGCTTTTACACGACCACCATAAATCCAGGCTGAAGGAGGCTGATAGTTCAGGCTGGGATGGAACCAAGACTGGCCACTCTGAAGAATTTAGGAACAAAGTTAAGAGGTGTTTCATTGGCTACCCACCTCTTTCTCCTCTCTCTCTCTTCTTTCTCCCATAAAATGCCTTATGCCTTCTGACATATGGAAGGAAAAAAAATATATATATGCAATGATGCTTTTATAGTTAATTTTGATACATAGTTAACGAATATAAATGTATTCATTTTTTGCTTTGTGTATAACTCCAAGCAACTTTCTACAATCTGAGGCCAACTCTTTTCTTTGCTACACAGAAGGCCTTCCTGCCATCCATTGATGTGAGTTCAATCAATTAAAAATCATTTAAATACTATCCTAAATAAAAAATCTGTCTAGGTAAGTCTGCCACTCTTGAAAACCACACGTTACCTCCCAAAGCCAGAGATTGGAATTTATCTGTTGTTTTGGAGGTTGCATTAATTTGGATAATTAGAAGATACATACATTTCACTGTGGATTTTTTTAGATTTAATTTTTTAATAATCTAATGAAACCTATGACTTTCCCGAATGAGTAGGTTCTGTTAAGATTTAATATGAACCCATGATATCAATGGTCCATAATGTAAATCATTCAGGAGTGTTGATTGCTCTAAAATTCTGGGATATATATAGGAAATAGAAGTAGTTTATGTGGGGGTAAGAGCTATGGCTGCTAACCAAAAGGTCAGCAGTTCAAATCCACCAGGCACTCCTTGGAAATCGTATGGGGCAGTTCTACTCTGGCCTAAAGGGTCGCTCTGAGTCAGAATCGACTCGACGGCAATGGGTTTGTTTTTTTGGGGGGGTTTATGTCCAAAATGAAAGAATAAAATTTCTAAATATTTAAATGTTAATATCTTAATTCTGTTCTGTCTCTTAAATTGAGGTTTGTAGATATTTTGGGTGCAAATGAACTTAGAAAAGGTGAAGTACAGAGAACGAGAGAGATTATCAGTAGTTATTGATACTACACACCTTCTATGTATTAAGTGCTGTGTTTCTTACCAAAAGGTGGAAAGCTTGTCCATTTGTCTCCCATACAGGGAGAGGTTTTCCCTTCCTCTCATGCTTGCTCCGTTCTTTAATGCAGCACCTTCTCAGACTTCCACCGGCAGAAAAGAAAACGATACATCCAAAAACTATCTACTGAGAACTTATAATACATTAGAGAAATCTGAAACGGCATTCTCAGGATTCTTGTTTTAAAATGTCCACCGTGTGCTAGGTGCCAACAAGACATGAAATAACGTCATTCCCCCTTATATTTATGACTTCATTGTGTATAAATGTCATTGTGAACCCACTGGACAAAGATAACATTTCATTTTTCTTTCAGTGCCTCATATACTGTTGGTGCCTAATAAATGAATACCAACCCTAACTGTTGTAATATAGTATAATACAACATTATAATATAATTTTAATATAATGTATAGAATATAATATAAAATTGTCTTCATAAAAATCCTTTATTATAAAGAAATCCTGTAAATTTAACACAAAAGTCTTGATACATGCCAAATTCAAACTATTCCTAGTAATAAGAGCAGACGGAAGGTTAAATCTCTCTCCAGAAATTTGCTTCGCCCTTAGCGAGAACATGCAACTCAGGAAGTTTGCTTCCCTTACAAAGAACTAGCATTTATGCCTAAGACCAAAATGATTATTTTTAAAGTACCCGTTTTACAATGCAAATGTGTATCTAAATTAAACTCAGTAAAAATAAGCATTTTAAATTGAAGCTGCAGTAATGGCTTTATGTGAGACAATAGGAAAAATGGTTCTTGAATATGAACTCAGAGAAAACAGATTTGTAATTCCTTCTAGTTGCCTTGAAGTTTTTCTTGTTCCTGTCCATTAACGTATTGATACATATTTAACTGAGAACCCATTGCTCTGTAGCTGTTTTACAAAACTGAGGCTATTCAGCAAAGTCACGGCAAAAAAAGGTTGAGTCAAAAAAAACAAAACAAAACAGAACAACTAACTGACAGCTAGTCTACTATGCCAAGCCCCATGCCTTAGCACTTGGAACATGGGACCGATGCAGGAACACAGACTCACTAAGAACAGCAACAAGAGACTGCGTAACAAAGACACGCGGCACAATAGGACATTTTAGACAGAGGCAAATGACAGATGGAGAAGAGCAGAATAAGGGACAATAGCTATTCAGGGTAGAGAGAGGACTTTAAAGAACAGTGAGAAGATGCTGACGGTATAGAGAGGAGGATACCTGAAGAAGTGGACAGAAGGAAAGATCCCAACAGGATGTGGTCAGAGGTGGAGGCCATGGTGGTGGAGGTGGTGCTGCTGAAGGTCGTCACAGCAGCATGGGAGATAAAGCAGAGATGTCAATGTGCCTTCCTGGGTTCTGCTGATCCTATGCCACTATTATTTTGTCAAATCCTATCCTGCTAATTATCCTGAAATCAATGCTTTATGAAGTAGCTAGCCCAAAAGTACAGACAGAACTAGAATATACTTGGTATTTAACTCTTCCCAGTCATTAAGTTGCTACAATCAAGGTGCTCATGCACGTACCTAGGTCATTGATTTGGCTGCTTTTAATG